ATGTTTACTTTACCCTCTAACATGCATTTTTCGTGGATCCTTACAACAGCGGCTACATTCCACAAGAATGAAACTTGCACTGTTGTCCCAAAATTTAAGAAAGAAGAAAGTGCGTTTAAAACTATATACCACTATCCCTTACTTTTTTAGTCATGAAATTTTTGACGCATTGTTAAACGTACACTGCTTTCTTTGACAAGTACCCTTCCTTGATCCCATCAGCATGGTTTTCTAAGCGACAAAGTCATGCACAACCAATATGATATTTTGTGATAGCCGGCATTGTCTCTAACGAAAACATTATCAATCATGTTGTGTATTTTGATTTTAGCTAAGGCCTTTTGATTCGTAAATCATATATCCGTACTTCATAAGCTAAAGACCATATATAACATTGATGGTTCTCTTCTCAATTTCTTCCAATGACCTTCAAGCCGTTACCAAAGAGTTGTTATTGGTAATGAGAATGTCATCTACCCTCTCAGTTAATATCTGGTGTCCCCCAGGGCTTCTAACCTTGGATCCCCCTTACATTTTGTATTTGTATATCAGATATTCCTCTTGTGCCTTTCGATAATACTGATATTGTTTTGTATGCCGAAGATACAAAATCTGACGTAAATACATCATCTTCTGATAATACCAATATACAAAGTAGGATATAGACTATCTCTCTGACTGGAGCACTTAGAAACAAAATGCGATCCCTCCAGCAAAATGTAATGTGATTATTTGGTTTTCAGGAAAACCACCTTTATCTCTCCATACGCATATAATCTGAGCCTCTCCTCTTGTGTAAGTAATTAAAAAAGACTTGTGCGATGTTACTCCTAAGCTCAGTTGGAATAGTCAGTGCGACAGAATTTATACAAAGAGCCAGCCACAACTTGTATGGTCAGAAGAGTGGCAAATTGTCATGATCAAAACGTCGCCGGCGCTTTACCTCTCCCTGGTTTCGTAGACCAAATCGAAAATTGTTTTCCATAATCTGCGCCCTTGTAATAAATCGCTTAGTGATAAATTAGAAAGTCCCAAAAGAGAGCTATTAAAATGGAATACATCTGAAGAGGCGCAGTTATCCACCTGAGCAATAATCAAAAAAGTGCAAGCTTTCGACAATCTCCCTTTGACTCAAAAGTTGACTGTGAATGATCTTATTTTTTTCCCAAAGTTCTGAACAATTTAATTCCTGTATGGATGCCTCACTATCTCACTTATATCAGGCACTTCTCGACTACAGACGTTGCCACCTCGACAGTCTGTCTATTGTGTCATCAATTTTACCTAAGTTAAGTCAAATTCACACACCTTATGTACCTCAAATAGCCCACTGGCAAAATCATTTTTCTACGAACTCATATACAGTGGATGGACTCCCCTTTACATTTAAGACAGATTGTGTCTACAAGTGTTTTCAAAGCTGAGGTCATTAGCATCTATGGAAATGTTCTTGGATAGTGAAACAACAGCCTAGCCTAATCTCTTTGCTCCCCCTATTATTATTAATTTGTTTTATTACTTTTTTTTATCTACTTCCTATACATTCAACATCAGATCACACAGCTGCACCCGCAACACCTCACACATTAAATGACTCAGATCAACGTATCTAATGTATCTGGAATTTGACGTATTGAAATACCAATTTTGACTATCTATCCACAGTTTATTCACATGATTTGTTGTTATTAAATATTTTTCATAATTTATTGGATTTAGATTAATTCTATGGTAATGGGTCCAAGTTACCTGCGGACAAGGTCACTATGTGTTTATACCGTGTATGGTGCCCGAATCAAATTTTACAGATGGGGGCATATATTTTGAACGATGCTCTTATTATATTCCATCTATTGCTGTACTCTGTAAAATTTGAAAAGTAATTAATAAAAAAAAAAATATTAACAGGACCTTCGACAGTCCAACCGGCGCCTCCTAGATAGTTATAAACCTACAATTCCAAAAAAAAGTTTTATATTTTTTTCCAAGTAATTTATAAAAATGATAAATGCATGTATTGACTTTAAATACAACCAATGCAAATATATTCACAATTCATGTAGTTTTTGCAACCAAGTAATTAAAACATTACAATTTGAGGAAGTGTACTGCATTCCTCAGGAAATATAAACCGCGCTTTTCATAAATCAGAGATAATGTTTGTTAACTCAACTCAAAATTTAACCGCGACGATGCATGCGAAGTGCGACGTCAGACGTCCCCAACTTTATAGTCCATGTTATAAGATACAAGCGCGAGCACAAAATTTTGTCTCTGGGGATTTTTAAATTGGGGTACCAAAAGTTTGCCGTCTAAAGTGAATAATGCAAATTCACCGTGTGTAGCAAAACACGTCGAGTGTACAAGGATACAAGATACCAAGGAACAAAAGTGATAATTATTTTATTGAATTCACAATAATATAATTCTGATATAAATAAGTTACACGCTTCTAATCATTTTAACAAATGTGTAGGATAAAATAGAAAATGATATATATAAAATGCTATTTTATCTTTAATTAGAATCAATTGTATGGGTCAAGGGGGGCATGCATCCGTGTAGGTGAGCCTCCTGTGCATTGCAAGAGTTAAAAGACGAAACATGTAATTTCTTGCTTAAAATGCATAAGCTCCTAAAATCCAATAGTTTGAAGGACGAACTATTGGATTGCAAAAGTAATGACGTTATGATTGATATTATAACTGAATATTACCATTTCCAGTCGTAACCGTTGAATCTTTTAATTCTGCATGACATTTGATATCTGGAGAGATTTATCCAAAATTCATATTACTAATATCACGTACTAGTGACGTGTAACCCTTGCCTACGCGCGGTCCGGACTTTCACTATCGCAGTTAAAATGCATATAATAAACGTGCAATTTATTTGAAAACACCTTTAGACATTTTCGTAGTTAAAACAGTGCGTATGTTATGAACTCGCCATTCCAACAGACCACAAATAATTCTGAGTGCACCTCACATAACTAATAGTAATACTTGATAGGCAAACTTGACTCTTGAGTTCCTGCCAAATTACCTAATTATATAAGCAAAATCTATTAATAGTTGGAGAGAAAAAAATAGAGGAAGTAGAGAGACACACAGACACACACTTAGTATTTGGTTCACAAATTCAATTAAAACCACTACACCGATCGATTTAAAAAACCTTCATAATTTGGGCTCGTCAGATTTTTTCTCGGCACTATACAATAAAACCACCCGTAACTCTTACCGTGTCTTGTATTAGAGTGATTAAAGTAATTAAAGTGATTAAAGCAATTAGAGTGATTAAATATCTTCCGATCTTTTTAATCTTATAGAGTTATAGCAATACGATGTAATTGGAAGTAATTTCCAACACATAAAAACGATCATTCACTCATGTGCATATCAAAGATAGTCGAACAATGATAAACTAAAAGTAAAGATTGAATGTGAAATTGGTTTTTTATCAGCTTCTCAATTTATGGCGGCATTTTCAGAGCTTGGTCGCCTGGTATGGACTTCAAAACATTCAAAACTGGAGGGAAGACCACTAGCAACTCTTGCTCCTTCACAAACACAATAAGATACATGCTTTCCGCAGTCTGTCGAGTTATACCGTGAGTTTATCATTTTAATTGATAAACAATTGGCAAATTAATAACTATACCATTATAATAAATCGAATAGAGAAATTTTTTATTCTTCCCAATTCATAATGTCGGAAAAAGTAAATATGTTGTACGAAACCTTTTCGGCGCATTTTCATCGTCTTCGTCAAAATTTTCTCAACGTTTTTTAGAAATTTGATGTCTGGGTGAAATTAAACATTTGTAAATATGTAGGACGTTTTGGGACGAGAGCTCGTGTACTATGGAAATTCCAGGTAACTCTTTAAAACATAACCTTCTTCGCTAGCTGTTGTGATACGTATTTAGTTAAGTAACCATCATGGTTACTTAACCATATGGTTTCGTAGTATTTAAGTGCCAACACATCATTCACACATATTATAAAATAAATATACACTCATATCAATGCTGTTTCAGTTATTACTATTATAAGAATATTCAGTATTATTATTATATTATTTCCGTTTAATATTCAACAAACTTAGGAATAGGATCTGTATATTTATACTCTCAGATACCTTTTTTATTATACACTCACAGATATTTCTTAAATAACAGATGAAATACTGCATGACCGTCTATCACATGTTACGCCAACTCACGGGCCAAGAAATCTTTCCTTACGATACAGATATCTAACCTCAAATCAGGTGATTGTGACTGAAGTTGTTCAGAATGAACTGCGAGAAAAGGTGGACTTCCACCTTACAAGAAACATTTTGTCGCTGTATTGAATATGACACGGCTGTAAAACAAGATAAACTAATCCCAACTTAATAGTCAGGTATGGGTACTATAATATAATGTTTTAAAAGTCTGGTTAGGATTTACTTTTTGAATAACTTTTTATCCATCAGCTGTGTAAACTTAAGATGTTGTAACAAGTTATCTGTATAGTTCAAGGTTTAATGGCGACGTCTGAATCTTTTAAGTTGCCATAGCCACCATAGCAATATTGTTTAGCTTACTTATCAGCTCCAAAAGAAGAACACAAATCCTCTCCAAAATCATCTTATAAAATTGTAAAATGTGGATCTCATGAAATGTATGTATAATGTAAACCTCGCAGGACTGTCATTAAATTATTGATAAATGACGATTATAAGTTAAATGATAGAGTGACATTCAGTTGATACTCAAAGATTAGACATAATGGACATAATGTTAGAAGACTGGCCGCTGGAGCTACGATTAGTTACATTCTATTTGTCCAATAAAGAGTAACATCTCTTAATTCAATCCTAAGATCTTTAAGATTAAGTAGTCACATAATAAAGTCACATAATGACGGTTAGTATTTAGATTATTGTATCTTCGTGAATTTTTTATATACACCAGACCATGAACATTTGCAATTAAATCAAATTCAAAATACTCTTCAAATATCACAATATCAAGTAATGACGATGAATCAAAAATCAAATAAAAAAACAATCGATCGCATTAAAACAATTTAAACATTAAAAAAGCTGCGTCAACAAAAGTAAACAATCTCAAGTAATATCAAGTAATATTTAGTAATATTTAATAATATTTTAATAATATTTCCCCAGTACATTCTTCAATTTAAAGCTCCATTCCACAAAATCGTTATACTCATGAAAAACCAGAGTAACTGTTGCTGGCCCTTTTGACTTTTTCATAGACGTGCTCCTTCGCAATGTGCTCTTCAAAGTTCCTTCCACTGACATAATTTGAGACACATTCACATTCAGAACCATCTCAAGTTTGGACTTATCAACATCCAGTAAGCAAACATTGTCAAGTGCAAATGAGCTATGTTCTCTGGGCTCTTTAGAGGTTTCCTTGGGCGGAGGCTTTGAAAGATAGAGGTTATCTTTGAAAAGATATGCTTTTCTCTCCGGATAGGAGTAACCTAAAAGTGAAACCCTGGCGTAGAGATAGAATTGAGATTCTTCCTGTTCGTAGAAGCTTTCCTCCTGAAGATGCAGAGTTCCGTTAATGGCCCTGAGGAGCTTGCCACTTAGTAGGACTGCTCGGTAGATTGTGGGTACTTCAAACACGTGGTTTGTGTTGGTCAGAGCGTCCTCAAACAACAGTTTATATTTGCAAAGACGCTGCATCGGCTTACAGACGTATGATTCAGCTGGCAAAGAGTCCGAATTCAGAGATTGGATGTCTTTGAAGTAGTCCTCTGAGAGAATCTCTTCCAGTCGGGTTTGGAGCTTGATAAAGTCATAGTAAACCTCAAAATCCTTGCCTAAAGATGTGAATATTCGAGCAAACTTTAGTCCTCCTCCGCTACTGTTCCGTACTTGAGTGTTCAGGTTCTTGTTCAGCTGAATCATCTTATGAAGAAGACCCTGACCAATTCTCAAGCATTCCGTTACTTGAACGTCAAGACTAAATTCCTCGTCTAATGCTGCTTTGCGGATTAGTTCATCATGGAGATACTCAATAGACTTGATGTAGACTTTCTCTGTGTCCATAAATTCTTTGAGAATGTGATAAAGTTTTTGTGTTGATTTTTCAGCCTTCGTTGACTGAGAAGTGGAGATGTCTTCTATTAGTTTGACCATATGCCGCTGCTCCAGACTTTGAACCAACTCCTCGATGTCGTCAATGTAATCATCAATGCTCTTTGCAGTAGTCAGAAGTTTCTTTATTGAATCCCTCCTGGACCGGTTGGAAGCAGTACTGGAGAAAGGGCTCTTCGTGTCTCGTTTATTTTTACTGACTGTCCGTATCCGTTGAAATAGTGATAGTTGGAGTTCTTCTGACTCACTCTGAACACATCTTGTAATCGTTTGAATGAGCTCGTCAAAGACTTCTATTTGGTTGACAAGGATCGAATTTTTGTATTCTTCGAGAAAAGTTATATCAGGGATTTCTGGTGGTTCAATGGCCTCAGACTCCCTAAATGTTCCGATGAGGAAGAGCATCTTCTCGCAGGAAGTTGCAAATTCTACCAGAGTCTCTGTTCCGTTATCTAAGGCTTTGATCCTCCCGAGAAGTGCATTCATTCTAGCAGATAACATGTTTGACTTGCTCTTGATGGCACTGCTGATCTGTTGATTTGTTTCCACCAGCTTTTCTATGAGCCTAGATATGCAGGTCTCTACACCGAGCATTGAGGCAAGCAGAAAGTCTGAGCCAATTTTTTGGCACGTTTCGAAGTACTCTTCGATGACCTCTAGAGGACAATATTTCAACATTTTGCGGATTTTGGTATCCTTTTCTAAGACGGCTCGAAAAGTGTCAGTTTGGATTATGTTTTGGTTGACATAAAGAGCGTCTTCAAATTCTTTTATCCATGATAATATATCACCTTGGATGTTGAGAACGAATTCTGTGTTAACCATCTTTTCATTGTTCTTTCCAAGCTCAGCAAAGTTCTCTGTTATAATCTTATCAAGATTCTCCATGAGACTGTCTGCTTTCTTATGCTTCCTTTTCGGCAGATCAGCTCTCTTTTTCGACATCTCATTAAAAGCTGTCTTTGCCGATTGCAGAACCGAGTAGGCTTCGTTAAGATTCTCCGTATCAGCCTCGCTCAGCTCCGCAATCCTTCCTCTCAAATCCTCTGCCGTCGTAGTCAACTGCACTGCCTCTTTCTTGAATTCTTGCCAGCGAGAGTGTGCGTCTAAAGAGGCCTCTAGTACAACCTGGTACTCCCTGTAGTGCTCCTCCAGCTCCGTCATTACCCTTGCCAAGGTTCTGATAGCGTCTCCGATCATCTTATCGTTGGTGGTCTCCTCGGGAGCCAGTTCATCTAGCAGAGACTCACAGTGCATGGGGAAGTTCCTCTGATCGATGGTGAAGGTGTGTCCCGATGTGGCCTCCCGATACTTCTGTTTGATCGTCTCCAGGGACTTTCCTTTGTGTTCGCATGTTACCTGAGAAAAAGGGTTGTATAGATTTTGTTTTGAACGGTATATTAAAACGGAAAGGTGCCTCAAGGTGATTGCAGCTGGGGGACGACAATTTGAACATCTTAATTGAAATTATTGAATTGTTTTTGTGTGGGAATTTTTATTAGTTGATTTCATTTATTGATTTATCCTAAAAATTTGTGTTTTCCTTTCTAGCAAAGTCATCATCGGTATCCAATCAAAGCCTAATGAACCTCATTAATACACGCTAACGCCTTACTCTTGATCAGATTGGGTGACACATATCCGATGGATTTTAAAATGGCCATAACTCAGCCATATTTAAACCAATGAACCTGAAACTTTTGGAAAAGTTTTTAATTATCAAGCCAAATGTGTGCAAAAATTTTTGAGTTCTTAGCTTAAAGCGTTCTCATTTTATGAAGACAATAGTGAAAAAGAGGGAGTGTCACGACACGCCCACTGTAATTGGGCGTGGCTTACGAAACTTTCAGGAAATCTAAGTTTGACCCATATCTATAATCTCTGAAATTTTGGTGCAATTTGGAGACGAATTACGTGAGTTATTAAGAGGTTGCGTGTGGGTAGTCACTTATGGGCCACCCTGTAATATCACTCATGGAATCATCAATCATGTTGATATTTTGTCAGCTTTCAAAAGATGTTATGTTCAAAAGATGTTATGTCTATTTTATAGTTTTAACTTGATAATATGTATACATTACAAAGTTCATATAGTTTCAGAAACTGGTTTCCTCACCTCTTTGAAGACCCTCTGCAGAGTTTGGGGAAGATACTGAAGTCTCTTGTAACACATCCTGCAATCCTCCCAAAACACCTCAAACTTCAGTCTCTTGTTCAGCCAGATATCCATGTTGGTAGGGTCAAAGTCTCCGCCAAGATCTCGGGGTATAACATCAATATCCATCCTGCTTGGAAGGTCACCTTTTTTGCAGTGCTCCACTTCTGTGAAAACTTTTCCTGGGTTTTGGAGAGGATGTTAATAATGATAGTATGGTATTTCTCGCTATTGGCTGTGTTTACTCCAGATGAGGGAACATTGATAGTAGATATAATATGAAAATATGACAATTAACCGTTGAGTAGATAGAACCTATTCGGAGGGAGCACAGAAAAATCTCTTATATTTATAAATAGGTTATAAATTCTTTACTTTTTCTTTCTTTTTTTTTATAGATAGAGGAAATGTGGGGTGTCGTACAAAAAACTGATCTGTTGACTAAGCTGACTGCCTTTAATGAAAAGACCTTACATTATTTCTTATTCTATAGTCAGTATAATTTATTTTGTATCGAACAGCTGCTATGTGACGATTGGAACTTAGTGACAAAACAATAATGACAAGTACCTAACTCAGTGTTGTTCATAAGTTGTTTGAACCTCCTTTCCGAATTTTTGTCCGTGTTCTTGTCCTTTATCATCAGTAACTTCATGTTGTGTCCCTTATATCCACTCACGAAATCCAGCAAGTTTTGTACGATCTTAGAAAGAAGGGATTACAATTTCAGCTCACTCATCAGCTCCAATTTTATAACTATGTTGAGGCAGAATATTTTGATGAGAAAATTGATAACTAATAACTATTGGACACTGAATTTAAGGACATTGAAGAGTATACTATCATCTAAATAAATTTCTGGCATCGTTCGAACACTCGTCAAAATTCATATCACTATGAATCCGATGACAATGTTTATCGTTCATTGAGTTCTAGTGAGACAGGGTCAGTTTATCTAAATTTCTGGCATCTTTCGAACACTCGTCAAAATTCATATCACTATGAATCCGATGACAATGTTTATCGTTCATTTAGTTCTAGTGAGACAGGGTCAGTTTATCTATGATGTTCGATAAATGCCACATACCTTAGGAGAAGGAGCTTCGCGACCCAACACACAGACCAGCCTGACATCCCTCACAAAGTCCCTGTGTAGGATGTGATCACTGAGGTCGTAGAAGTAGCCGAGTATAGCGTCCAGCAGGTATGTGAAGGAGAGGATGTAAGAGTGGTCTAGCAGCGCTGATCCGTACACAAATACTATGTCGTACCCTTGTTTGTCGTACCTTCCTGGGGAGTTAGCTTGATATTAGCTGGTTGAGAGGGCTCACATAGGTAGCTATTTCCTAGAGTTTACAGTTGCCTGTAACATGCGGACAATGTGTGATGTGTGACCACTAATCTTCCGAAGTGTTGGGCTAGGGAGCTACATCTTTAATAAAATCACTGCACAATGAAATGAGACGTGTCTCTGATGTTACCGGCTAGGTAGCATTTAAAATTACCCGGATAAAGTAGGGATCCGGAGAGGAGCTGCATGTTCAGATCTGCCCCGTGTTCAGGATGTAACAGGTACGGTGTGGCTGGCTCTCCTGTGAGTTTTGTGATACAGTAAGGAGTAGACGTGGAAACTCGACCACCAATCACATTGTACGCGTTATATAAGGACAAACCGACAATCTAAAGGAGTGTTGGCTGCAATTATCCAGATAAAAAGCGGAATCTGACAAAGTTCATGTGTCTTTGAGCACTGGATTTGAAATTTAAAGGTTGATATTTAATGAATTGATAAGAGATAGTTACCCAAGATCCCATAGTTGATGCAATCGAGATAATCCGAGTCCTCCAGGACGCTCCAAGAATCTTCAAGTTGAGAACTATGGGAACTTTGGCTGCTTATCTTCTTGTTGAGGTGCTGTTGAACACAACTAACTGAGGTTTGGGAACTGAGTCTCTTCTTCAATTGGTTTGGTTCATGGTGACTCAATTTACTCATATTGTTCTGCCAACTCCCTTGTCTGGAGTTGTTATACCGGACAAAAGACTAAAGGATTAGGTTGTGCTAAAAACATGAGCTGCGATTAATTTATTAACAATTTGGATTTCAAATCTCAGACTCATACAGGTACAACTTTTACAAAAAAAAGTAAATTTTTGTTATTCATATTACACGTCATACGAATATAACATTGATATTGGCTACGCTTTAGGAGTTCGAATCCGTCTTAATCAGTTTCATCTTTTAACAAATTGGCCTCATAACACTATACATTGTAACACTATACATTGTAGTATTATACATTGTTACACTATACATTGTTACATTATACAATATACATTGTAACGCTATACTACACTGTACAAAGACAGGCTGGAAAATCAAGGAGCAGTAAACAGTCCAGCCGCAAAATAACAAAATTAAGAACTGAACTACCGTAACCGTAAGGATACTCTATGTAAGTAAATAGTAAATAATATATATGTAATTCGAGGAGCTCTCCAGAGATAGAATGTACATCCTACTAAGCAACTATATCCAACTTTCAGAAGAGTAAATAATCAGAATGGCTATTATATGTGCCGATTCGATAGAATTATGAACAACAAAGTCGAAAATTTCGGATTTCGGATTGAGAAGTTGGTGTTACTGTTACGTCATCAAACTTCTAGAAATCTAGTAAAAATAAACTTCGTGATTACATTTTCAATTGTAATGGGACAGTTTAAACATTACATGTAACATAATATCCAGCTTCAGCCAAAGCCTTAAGTCGAAGGTAATGTTGCAGGTAACAGTACACTTTAAAATGAACAGTGATCTTTCCCTGGAAATCGGAATCGACTTCAGAAATTTCTGCCTACCTATAATGCCGGACTGTTACAAATAACAACACTCACTGCTCACACAGAAGTTAGTCAAGTTACCCGACCCTCACCGAGCTCTAGAGTATTGACCTCATCGACTTACAAAGCACAATAACATGTGTAATAAGGTGTGACGTCATCAATTACTGTGTATTAACTTATTAAAGAATGACGGGATTTTGCAGTTTTATTCTAATAGAAAACTTCGCTAAATTAACATATTAATGATTTTCATACAAAGTTACAACAAAGTCTTTATGTTATGTATCCTGGGTTTTTATCGCTCGGTTAATCGCTCGGTTATAACCGAGCGATAAGTCTTATCGCTCGTACGTGCGCGGCACCCGACTACCATGAGCCTTAGGCTCATGGTAGTCGGGTGCCGCGCTCATGGTAGTACTTATCGCTCATGGTAGTCTTTCCAATGATTCATCACCAATGATTCATCACCATGCATCTGATCATTGCAATGTTCATTTGCATCATGATCAATCCCTTAACAACGAATCATGGAAACATCACATCACCATGCTTGATAGATAATTGACATTGTTGTCTCAGTGCCAGATATGTTGACTCGTGTAATTAATCCATGCTTTCAAACTTACTCTTAGTGCATTGTCTAGCCCTAATTTGTTGTGAAACTTGTTTTCGAGGTAGACCAACAAACTAAAACAGCAGTGATCAATATTTTCCCCGACCCCAACCGTACTTGTATAATAATGTATACGGCGTACACGCGCAATTAAGGATAACTACACAGTAGCAGCAAACTAAACTGTTCTGTATGTTAATAATGAGTAGAAAGATATATAAGGGGTTTCTGACTATATAACGAAGATGGTATTCTAACATGATATATAAAAAACAATGTTTTCTAATTCTGATAAGGTTCCACGCGACGGTTATATATTGCATCGCGTCGGAAGTTTTGTTTTTCATTCCACCGTACATATGCTAGGCAAATAAATCTGTATCACCTCTTCAACCTGCCGAACAGGTAATTACTATTAAAGTAAACAAACATGTATCACCTCCCCACGAGTATCCACATCTATATCATTGCTAATGGAGCTGGAGGGTCATAAAATGGGGAAGAGGATTGTTTTTCTTCATATCATCATTTATCGTTTATTGTTATTTTTTGTAGTTTTTATTTCAATCATTGTGATATAATTTTTCATTAAGTTTAATACTTTACCAATAACATTCTCATTAATTTAAATTTTGCAAATAAAATCACTTCTGGATTATTTCCTATAGAATTTAAAATATACGTCAATAATAGGGAACTTTATTCCACCGCTGGTGTACCGGTTCGTCAAAGGTGGAAATAACCTGAAAAGGTGACCAGAAAAAGGTAAACAAGGAATATTATCTTCATGAAATCGAAAATAAATAGAATGTGCAACAAAACTTGTCATAAAAATGTTAGATTTCAAACGCTGAGAATAGTTAAATTTCGGATCTTACATACTTTCGATATGTAAGGACCTTAAATTTCAGAAAACATTCCATATCAAATATATTTAGATAATGGTATTCATACCACTGAGACTTATTTATGCTAAAGAATTCAATATTTAGCTAAAATAACAACTAAAATGTGGAAAGAGATTTGATCCACTCACCAAATCTACTGGTAAAATTGAATTATATAAGAAAAAATAAAAATGGTTATTAAACTCCAAGTTTTACTTATTAGATCTAACAACTTGCATTTAAAATAACCAGAAAAATACTGTTATTCATTCGAACTAAATCGCTCGCCCAAATGTCTGAACTCTAAAACTGATAACATAGCTATTTTGAAAGTTACTTTTGGGTTAGACCACTCATGTTCGAAATTTATCATTTTAAGCTAATTTGGGCGAGCAGTTAAGAAAAAAGAAAACACATTTGAAGAAACATCCTCTCAAGTTCACTCTGGCATCTATGTTGCGGATGCAGTAACTTGTAGGTGAAAAGGAGGAAGGCTCCAAATTTAACTCCTTGTGGAACGGAAACAAAGTCTGGTTCGTGGGGTCCGCAGTGCACGTGTAGCAACTAGCAGTGCACGTGTAGCACTGTAGCACGTGTAGCACTAGCCAGCCACCAAGATATCTTCATTCCACCGTACCGCATGCGTAACATAACTGCCAGAGTGAAGTTGAGGGGACATTCCTTCAAACTTCCGGATTCTCTTCGAAATCGTCCCCGAAATCAATGATGACATCATTTTCAGGAGGTGGGAGTTGTGACGTCACGGAAATGTTCTTGTAGTCAACCGACGAGATCCAACAGTGCGGGAACACCTGTATTTATGATGGTCAAATATTGAAGGTTTTGTATAATCGTGGCGATTCTGTGAAGCAAAATATTGCAGAAGCTTCTATAACTTATATTTTCCTTATAAAAAAATGTACATTCAGTACCTCTCTGAGATCGTGAAGTTTGCAAGAGTAGGGGGTATCACAGGACAGGGTCGTGAGGAGTTTAGCGTCCTGCAGAAGCCCGATTAGGTACATATGGTCCTCGTGACGAGACAGGCAACCTGGAGGCATGTGAGGTAGTGTTAGAGACTGTCACCTTGGTGTGTGTGACCTGCCAGAGTTGAGGCCAGGCCTATAACGTTCGCGTTAGTAGGATGTTGAAGAAAGCTATTATGTTTCATTATAAATGTCCTATTAATTATGTATTGTGTATGTGAAATCTGCTGTAATCAGTTTACAGAACTACGAGTGTATGACTCGAGGAAGTTAAGTCGGGAAATATAATGAATGTATGGACGGTATTACAAATGCTTAATAGTCCTCACCCATAATGTTCAGGTAGGTTATTTTAGGATACCTCATTCCCAGTGAAGCAGCGATCGTGTTCTTTAAAGTAAACCTGGCAAGAACTCGGTCAGTAATTAAGAACTTGCTTACAAAACTGGATCTTCTTTTATTTGATTGAGATTCAAACTTAAAGACTGAAAAAGAGTTTACGTTCACAACTGAGCTTGATCATAACCATGTAAACATTGAGAGGAAATGTTACCTACCCTTTGAGGTCGAGCTTGGAAATGTTGCCGCAGTTGATGGAAAGGCCTAGAAACCAGTGAGAGTCGTGACTGACAGTATCACGGAGAGATATCTCGGTGACTGTACCTGGTAGTAAACACTCGGGGAGGGGTTGTTGTAGGCTCAGGTGTACCTTCTGTAAGTCCCTAGGAGTAGTGTGTAAACAAAAGCTGAACTGCCTCTATGAGTTGATATACGCAAAGTAATTTTGAGATTACCACAAGAAATGCGATGAACCCGCCTTAAAACCCGCCTTAAAACCCTCTGATTCTCACATAAGCAGCTAACTAACCCCATAATTTGACTAAAACTTCACACTTACAATATCTTGTCGAGTTCCAGCTTGCCCCTAACTATCCCTTGTATCCGCAGTTCCTTTATCAGCGAGACAGGAAATTCCATGTTGGAACAGTTGCAAGCTGTCAGGATTACTGTTCGGAGATTGTGGAAGTTTTCACGCAGTGCTGCAAACTTTTCATTCGATACTGACTTCATCTGAGATGTGTAGCGTCAATAATTCTGAAAAGTCTTTAACCTTGTCCTGAGTCGAAGTATTCAAGCGTACAATCAAACGTGCGTCAATGTCAGTGGAATACGTGGATAATAAACCACTTCCATCTAATTCTAATAACATCTCCATTCTCGGTTGAAAACGATTTAATACACAAATTATTTCAATTCGTTTCACGATATACGGTCTGAGAAGATTTTATCCGACCTAATCATATGTTTCTACGTTATAATACGTCTAAGTTATAAAAAGTCTGACTAACCTCGAAGCAGGTGAGGTGAGACACAATCCTGGTGAGAACTTGTTTATCAGGTAGCTCAGTGGGGTAGTTGAGAGTAAAGTGGCTGAGATTATTAGAGCGTCCTGTCACTACCATTCCTCTATAGTTCCGAGGAAGGTCCACAGACACACACCCTATCTCTGTGAGACTCAACTTGCGGAGAATTGGCAGGGCGTTGATCCATTCCAGACCAAACTGAGTCAACTGTGGAGTGAAGAAATTTAGAGTGAGGAAATGTAGAGTGCTGAGTGCTGGAGAGTGGGGACTATAAGACATGACTGCTGAGTGCTGAAGAGTGGGGACGGCTCGCCTCCCCACCAATATCCAATTCTATAAAATTATCTCTTCATTACCGGGACATTTATTACACTATATATCACTGATACTACGATCAAGTTCAGGACCATCAAAATCCATGTTGGCTTACCTGTCCGAGAAATGACTGCTGGGTAATATTAACATTGTACCCGTACAGGATTTGAATTTGGAAAAAATTGTGCTGGAATCACTGTGCAATGTAGAGAAAGAAAGTGAACTTTACAAAAGTAGAATTGAGAAGTTTTAAAATTGTTTCTCAATCTTGCTTAGTAAGATGATATTGCCGGAAACTAAAATGTACCTTTGATCCGCCTTTGACGTGTACTCCAAGTGCACGGAGTCCTTTAAAAAGACAAACAGTTCTTAACACTTTCTTGAGATCTTTGAGTTGTATTGTAACACTCAGGTCGGATACAGTAGGGTGATGTTTCAGCAACATTTGTAGAACCACCGGATCTGAGAGAATGAACATTTTAATGCTGACATGGTTACGAAAATTGGAGTTTTATTTGTTTGAATAAACATGAATGGTGTCAATTTAAAGGGATTTTTACAAACAGTACCTGCATTTCTTAGAACCACGGACGTAGGCTGGCGTTTGGCTATCATGTGCCAGAGCTGCTTCGCTCTTGATATCTTACTGGTACATTTTAGTACACAAGCTTTGTTAGAGAGGAGAGACTCGTGACCGGCTAGGATCTCGTGCCATCTTCTGCATACCTTAGAAGCTGTGGTTAGTTAGTATAGCAAATGGGGCAGGAGGTATGGGGGGGGGGGGACTGGGGGAGGGGGGTTAAGAGAGTATATCTCGACGTTTCAAATTGCTAACAATAGAGATGCGAAGCTAGAAGGTAAGGATAAATGTGTGGACCAATGTCATGATTGATTGGGAAATTAAGAATATTTATCAATGTAGAACAGCCATATGATAGGTACATACAACATTGAATTGTATGCTATTAACGCGGTCACCTACCTTTATACAGGACAATATCTCACTAACAGGCAGGAAACTGAATATAAGGACTAGGACCTCAGTCGCCAAACTGTCCATTTGTCATCTTCTGATCACGTGACCATTGCTGAATTCAGTGAACAATTATAAAAGGTTATAAAATTGAAGATTTATATTTTATAGCGAGGTAAAACTTACGTTCCTAGAGATTTTATTAAGTCTACAAAAACGCGCAAAACGGAAAATAATCGTACTGTGATATCAAACAGTGCTAACATCTTAAACGCGTAACTTTGTACGCGTTGATTTTGCTAGCAATAAGCAAGTTTCCAAGGCAACTTGACGAGATTTGCGGCGTTTCTCAACTTTAGTGCGACGAATGAATCAATTGTGTAAACTGTAACAATAGCATGAGAACAATAAGTATGTCAATTCATAAACGATATATAATAGTATATAAATATACAACGAAAAAGTCAATCCTTTTACGCTAAACGATCAACGATGTCAATTGAAAAATGTCTGAATTAATTATTCAAGAGAAAATGTCAGAAATAATAATTAAAGATTAAAATTCAGTGCAAATTTCAAAAAAAGTCACAAAAAAAATTTTTAATCTTAATCTCAATCAGTCCTTCGAATAAATTCTCACAAGGCAGGAAGTGTAAGATCACTATCAAATCAGTTCAGAGTTTCCGACTCTTTTGCCAAATAGTAGCAGCACCAAGCACCGATGAAACGGTTCCGCAAAATCCTACCGTCCCCGGTGACAACGTTGTCACACCGGAGGAATGTATTGGTAACCAAATATCTGACATATTCTTAACTAAATCAACAAACAGATCTGGTCGTCTTGACAGGACGCACCGACAAGTTGAATACAAGGAATGATTGGAATGTTTCAAGTTAGACTCCTGTCGATCGAATTGTTCGTTAATTTCATGACGTATCTCATAGGTAACTCTGATAATGTTCATGAAGTCTGCGTACAACCACAACTTACTAGACAGAGAAACTAAACCTCCCTGATCTACCTTTACAAGGCCGAGTTTGCTGAACAAGTATACATTATCACAAAAAAACTGAAGTGCTGAACTGATTCTGGATAAAGTCATTGAATAGCGTAAGATTGGATCGTTTATGTGGATTGATACAGCTGCTCCACGCATGTGTTCTACGCTTTTTCCGAGAGAAAAATCTGAAAATACAACAATAAGCACATTTAAGACTTTCAACACTAAAATTGATCTAAAACATTGGAATGTGAGGACAAACTGGTGTTATAGGAACAAAAGTATTGTACATTCCTGTGGTCACTCAAACAAAGAAGAGTATAATGAAGAGCCAGTGTAATAATGTACAGAGTACACACTACGACCCTTAAAGGTGGGACTGCAGACCGCTACAGACCGCTAAAGGTGGGACTACAGACCGCTACAAAGTACAAACCGCTAAAGGTGGGACTGCAACTACAGATCGCTAAAGGTGGGACTGCAACTACAGATCGCTAAAGGTGTTACTGCAGACCGCTACAGACTGCTTAAGGTGGGACTGCAGCTACTGACCGCTAAAGGTGGGACTGCAGACCGCTACAGACTGCTTAAGGTGGGACTGCAGCTACTGACCGCTAAAGGCCAGGTGGGACTGCAGCTACAGACCGCTAAAGGTGGGACTGCAGCTACAGACCGATAAAGGTGGTACTGCAGCTACAGACCGATAAAGGTGGGACTACAGACCGCTCATAGAGTAGCTGTAAGATGAGGTCACTGCAGTACACGCTATTATATTACACATGGAATTAGTAAAGGAGTCGTAGTTTCATGTAATGGCTAAGAGCCAGTCATAACACAAAACACTATGATTTGAGCTGTGATCCAGAGGAAACACCGCCCATTTATTTTCACCTAGCCAAGCTAATGCTAGATCAATTCAAAACCTCCATAACATTCTAAAACTAAATTAGAGCTAACATTTTCTAGCGAGGGAGAGGGAGGACTGGAGTTGTTTTAATTGTTCCACATACTGTGGACTGAAACCACGTTTTTCTAGGTACCACCATAGGAGTTGACTACTGTACTGCAATACCCTGATGGGGAATTGTAATTAAATTGTGTGTTATTCTATTCTTTAATAATCTAATAATTGTTTAATAATTTAAAAGTCAAACTTCATATCGTTACTAAAGTACTTAGTTTAATTTGGAGCGCGAAAACATTAACTTTATCAAACAAACAAAAAAGACAAAATTACTGCACCAGTTTTCACACCAATCCATATCTGCACACCAATCTATGTACATAGCGTACCTACATTTATAATACTTTGCAAACATCGACTTTTCTAAAAGTCATAGTCTACCTTACAGCACAAACGTGATCTTCACAAATTGTGCACATCTAATGAAAATGCAAACTATGACTAATCAGTAAGGTATAATAAATAATGTATAATGATAAATTGAAATGTATAAATAATGTATAGTAGTAATGCTCGAATATATATCCGGAAACTAGGTGTGTTAGACATAAGTTATTAGCCAGGACAGCTCACCTGCATAGTTTGTCTTGGCCTGATGTTTGGTTTGAGAACTTCACAAAATGGCTCACTACATCCTCTGACATTGTAACTACTGAAATGGGGGTTTAAAGTGAGGTGTAATATATTATATTTAAACTATTTTCACAATTACAATTAAATACATTTTTTAAGTCTTATTAATATTATGTACAATATTAGTGCTTTAACCAGGTGTAACCAGTCCACAGCATGTCTACATAACACGAAGGACTTGGTTTTATTCTAAATGAATAGCTGAAATACTATCACTAATACTAAATTTTGATGAGTTCATTCTTTGTTAATTTTAATACTTTAAAAACGCATTCGATTCTTAACAATTTAATGTAATGTAAAATGTAATACAATTTAAAGTAAAACACTAATTTTAATAAAACACGTTATTAAAACTGAAAGTCGTTAGAATGAGTACAGTTGATTTCAAGCGCAGAAAAAAATACAATAGTCAAAAGTAAATGAATTAAAAAGCATCATGTTAATTGTTAGTACAACTCAGCAAATTATCAAAAACCTAAATAAATTAAAACCCGGGAACGATTAAAACTTGACCACTTTCGGTTTATGTATCTGCGGTTTTGGGTCTGGTCTTTTAATTTCAACATACTCATTAAGATCCATCATATCATTCTCTTCGACATTGGATTTAGACGAGGATATACTTTTCAACTTTATCGTCCGGCTTTCTCTCTGCTTGACTTTGGTCTGACAATCCTTTGCAAAGTGTTCAACAGATCCACACTCTTTGCAGCACCCCCCATTGGGGTACAACCCCCGCGGGTTATCAGGACACGCCCGAGACAAGTGACCAGTCTCACTGCAGATAAAACATTTAGCGTGAGGAAACCCCTCGATATCTCTCCTAGGACATGTACTTGATGTGTGCTCGGTTGAGGCACATTTAAAACAAACTCCGATCCCCTTGTCGTATCCTTTGGGGCAGTGTGAAGCTTTGTGTCGTGTACTCCTGCATACAAAACAGGGATCCATCGCTGCACGGCGGTTACGGTGCACGTCAGCCCTTGATCTTTTCTTTGCTTCTTGGTCCATTTGAGAAAACTTGAGCGACCCTTTACCTTGTTTTGATGATATTTGAGGACGTGTTACTTTATTTGGTGAGACAATTTTTGGCGTATTTTCTAACTCCGATTTGATTGCATCTGTGACCAACTTTTGCTTGTTTCTCTTTTTCTTTAATTTCTTTATAACCTTATCCTCTGACTGTGGAGAAGTGTGGCTTTGTTGCACTGGGGGGTCCACTGTAACCTTTTCAACAACATTCTTCAAATTCTTCAGCTTTTTCTTCTTTTTCTTCGGTTTTTCAGTGTTACTTTCCACGACGGTTTGTTTCAGTGCTGACCAAGATGAAGCTTCTTCAGCTTGTTTCTTACCTATTACTGGTTTAGCATATCTCGTCATGATCTGAACGGAATTTTAATGTTAGCATTGAAATCTTACAATAAGAAGTTAAATATTTGACATATTTTAAGGTAAATAATTTGTCCAGTTAAACTTAATTAATGAAAGCCCAGCATCTAAACATTTTGTAGATTTTTCCAATAATGATACCTTTTTGGAAAGTCTCGTAGAAAAATGGCTTCTACTTCTTAAGACGTAAGTACACAAAAAATACGCTGCACAATAAATTAAATCTTTACAAAGGTGCCATAATATGATTGTACATTTAAATACTATACATAATACAATATTATAACGTGATACTATTTACATTTATTGGGGATTAAGAAAAAACTGTATCTGATCTGAAAGTTCTTCTGTAAAAGTAAAGTTGTTTTGACACAATATAATGTGACAAACTTCCACGAAATATCTCTGAATCTGATAACACTGTCATGTGATAACCACATCTCACATATTATTGTAATAGAAACTATTATAATTAATATTCGTGCTGTAAAAATCTGAAAGATCGCCGTTATCGAAAACACCAATAGAGTCTTAAAGTGATTGGTTCAAGACAGATAAAGCCTTGTGTGGTAGATAGGGAGGATCTAGGTTAGTTTCACGAAGTTAGCAGATGCTTGCTCCAATCCTGCTTTACTGAAAATGTGAAAACTTGTTAACTCATTGAATAAAAATGTACTTTATTGATGAATACATGGTAAAATCAAATCATTAAATTGTTAGAAGAATAAAAAATCTTATCAAAACTTAAGATGAGCTTTCCCTACCATCTTTTAGGACTTTATGATTTTGTGCACATCTCACCAGATTGAAAGAAATGGTTTATGATTACCATTTTCCGAGGTAATTTTTAATCATGTTAAACATGGAACAATGTTTGGTAAGAATATATATGTGATTTTTATCGACCTAATCGAAAGTTTAGCAAAAAGATGGTAGGGAAATTGCCATAGATTTTAGAATCATGCAAAATAAAAGATTTGTGTTTTTACTGTACTGTATACTACTACTGAGTTTACTTTCATAGCAAGCAAAGAGTCAAATCATATATTTGTAGATACTGCCAGTTTTAAACTACGGTCATTATTTACTGATAAGCAAGATAAACATTCAATGTTCAGCGAATGCACCATTTTATTATTGCTTGCTATGATCTAAAGATGTCACATATTGATCATGACACAATACTGTAACTACTACTACACAATAAGTTGTTGACGACAGTATACGAAATTTCGAGGATCATTCAACTTTATTTTAAATCGATCTTCATTCAAATTTCATATAATTCTATCCCTGCTCGTCATGTATCTATTTCATAACATTCAAAGGTTCATAGGTTTCATTCAATGCCACATACTTGGGAATGGGGATCACCGAATCGAATCAGATATGACGATCTAATCGTCGCGATTATTAACATTTCGAGAAGATTCCAAATTTCCAGCAATTTTAGGTTCAGCAACAATTAACATGACATTCATAATATATAACAACTACTTAAACAAATGCAACTTAATTACAATAATTTTAATTTGCTGAAAAACGTTTATTTGAAGAGCAGAAAGGTTTCATGTTCAGAATCAATCTAGAGATTGATCTCAATGCAATGCTGAAAGACATGATACATTCAAACGGAAACTGCACGTGGGCAACAATTGGGTACAACCTCTAGTTCGGGAAATGCTTTGGAAAATGGCTGTGAACTCATTATAGAAGTTATTGCAGCCTCTTCCCTAAAATGAAGCAATTTGTGTCATAAATGTTGATGCGAGAACATGAGGCATAAGTTTTTGTCTCAGCGATGAGTTTAAGTTGCAAATATGAAAGAATCTTTTCTGCCAATTCACAAATATGGGAAATATAGATAACTTTATTTTAATTAAGGAAGTGTATAACTCGACTTTAAAGAAATATTCAGTACTCACGCTTCAGTCATGAAGGTTGGCAGGTTTATCTGATCTTTCTCACACCCATCAGGTCGAGCATTATATTTCTTCACTCCTAGTGTCTTCAGAGCTGAGGATATAAAGTTTTATTACTATGATAAGCGCAGCTTATTGGGATGAGATGTCTTGTAAAATAGTCATGTGCTGAATGAACAACTATCACAAATTAATAGAGATTTGCTAGGGAAATAATTCGGTTCGGTTGCTTTCAAAAATCATGCTATTGTCAATTTCGATTTACTAACTAAACTAATATCATCTATTAGCTGGTTATTAACAAAACGTTATAACGTACCACTTCTATACTGTTCCATGCTGATGTAGCCCTTGTTAGTGACATCCAGCATCCCAAACACAGCAGTCATGTTGGCATCGGTGAACATGGCGGGGTAGTCTCCCTTCTCGTCTCTGTACTCTTTCAATGTCTCCAAGTACTTTATCATGAACTTCTTGGCGTTTTCTGACAAACATTCAATTCATTTAAAAAGAAATATTTTAGAATAAAATTAGCAGAAGGAGTAATAACCTACTATAACTTGTATGGATTGCAAGAGTGTAATTTTTCAGAGTCAAAGCCCAGCTCATAAAGTTTATATTATGTACTATTTAAATAGTGCCATTATCCTTTCACAAATTATAGAGAACTCCATATTAAAAAATACTTCATTAAATCTTAAATATTTTTAAAAAAACATTTCGATAATTTAAGCTCCTTTAACCTGGCTGGGAATGAATGAGGGCAGCTGTCATGTTCTCAAAGAGTTCTGGAATTCTGTGCTTCTGAACATATGCCTCAGCCATTTGACTTTTTGGGTTTGTGGGTACTGCTGCTGTGGTCATGATTGCCTCAAAAGATTGGACACACCTAATATACAATATAGTAAATAGTGTGTAAGATTAATGAAAGTTTCAAGTTTTAACTGCAGCAATACACATCATTTCTATACAGTGAAAGTAAAGATCGAAAATGTTTTAAATAATAATATTATCATCAAAAGATAAATGATAAATAGAGTATGTAATGTGGATTGTGGACTGTGGCTTGAAGAGATATTTGATTTATCAAAAGCTACACATTGAATTTACTAAATTAACTTAAATTCAATAGGACAAAATAAGTAGAGTCTCTGTAACATTGAAACACTCCCTCTCAGTTTGAATGCCATGGTAGAAGCCGTTGAGTCATCAAATTAGAAAGAGAAATGGTGAAAATCGAACTCTCTCATCATTGGAGGCCAGACTCAGGATCCCTCATTGACAATGGCAAAAAACTCAAGAAAGATGCGGAAGTCACAAATGCAAACACTCGAGCACGCTTCTTAGAGTCAAAGACAGCAGATATGAAAACTCTGATGCTACTGTATAGAAAGCTATCAATTATGAGCCCTGGACAATCAGTAACAAGAAATGCAGCCGTTTTTCTTTTGTGGATGGCCACTCAATTTCCTGATCCGTGATGACTTATTTTATTATATTCAATAAAACCTGGGTCCCCAGTCTTTGCTGTTTATAAGCATACAGATATAGCGGAGTGATATATATATATTCTGATATCAACAAAAAGCAGCACCCAAAAAGCATTCATTAGGAGGGTAGAATTTCTTTGAGAACAAAATGAATCTTTCCAGGACTTAGCCAACTAGAAAGACTATAAAACAAAGACTCTGCAAACATCTCAGAGAACTGATAACACCTTAAAGAATAAAGAGGGAGGATCCTGGACCCCGAAATCTACCACCTTTCTGTACTTTCGGAGGTACAAATGTGGCAGGAAACCAGGGCTCATGCTCATGCTGCCGCTGGGCTAAAGCAGTAGAGGAGATGGCGGCTTCTCTGGGAACTAACACATCCTGAAACAGACCAACACTATCCAGGGTGAGAATCCTTGTCGCGTTTTTGGTCAATTTCGCCGGGGCTCATGTCTTTCCTCGAGGGAGCATTAGTGTCTACAGAAAAACTGACAAATCCTAGCGAAGTCCAATCCGAACCACATCTTCCATCAGAGGTGGTGCTGGGTCAGCTGGTTACTGAACGGATTGGCCTGGAGAATGACATAGTCCTATTATTCTCAAGTTAACCATAGAGGGAGTCAGGCGCTGTTCGCTCACGGCTGGTTCTTGGAGCCAACACCCTCAGCCCCACAGAAGTGGGAGCACTGTCGGTGGTGGCTTACCCAGAGAACGGACAGTGTCTCTCCTTCTTTCTTCTTGGACTTGCATTGCTGCTGGCGAGTCAGCCAGTAGCAATGCAGCATCTCACTCACTCAATCACATCAGCAGTTCAAACACAGAGACTGGCACTCTCTATTCCGCCACGGAAAGTGGACAAAATAACCCATCCAGTCATGGAAAAATGACATTATTGAACCAGCCGCAAAACCATGTACAACCACGGAATATCACTAAAACTCCAAAGTGAGCGCTCTACAACAGGAAGAGTCTGGAAAGCGCCAAGGCAAACTTTTATACAAAGGACCAAAATCAGCACTCCACGAGAGCGCGTGACAGCCGCGCGCAGCATAACAAAACAATCTGAAACAAAGGGATGTCAAAAGATAAATACGTGAAACCAAAGATAAACCAAAGGAACAACACACCAGGGTTCGAGTTTAATATCATCTCAACTCGATCCTCCTAAATACTAAAAGCATGACACAACCTCGAGGATCACCAGGGCAGGCCGGAGGCCCGCTAGCATAATGCGGTGGTAGTTCCTCGAAGTAACGCACTACCTTTTCCGGGAGGGTGTTTCGACACCTGACTCCTTACGGGTTCTATGGAGTCTCTCGATGACGGATCATTATGGCAGATAACCTTAGGGTCATCGCCGATCCACCGGGTCATAACAATGTTATGTCTTTTGGACGTACCGGGCTCTGCGAACCCCATGCCAAGCAGAGCAGACGGTACAAAGCCTGCAGTCCAAAGGAGCTCCATCAGACGTTAGCCACAAGGCGGACGTAGCCTCCTTGCTAATCCGGGGAGGTAGAGTGAGCGCCCTCGTGTTATTACTGTTCACACCTTTCTCTCTCTTTCGTGACAGAATACTTCTAACCGTGTTTACCCTTTCTAGCAATGACTACCAAAGAAGGATAACCGATTGGACTGGGGAGGAGTGGAACATTGGCAGCACACTACCGTCCAATCGGTAAGTATTTACAATGTTTAGTTATTAGGTATATATTTGGAATTGGTTTAATTTGGTTGTAAAGTTATTCTATTATGTAATAAAGTATTGTGTTTTACAGGTTTTGTACATACGACAATTACTGGTTTTAATTGGTCAACTTAGAGTCATCTAACAGTGATAGCAGGAAGCAGGACGATCTACCCAACGACCTAACAACTGTGGAACTTTTCTTTTCTTTTGAGAGACATTGAGAGACATTTTGGAGTTTTTTTAGAAACACTTTGGGAGTTTTTTTTTAGTCAAACGGTAATCATGAGTGTTCGTGAGATACCTGTGTTAGACGATAGCGCTGACTACAGCACGTGGAAGAAAAAAGTGCTTATATGGCAGCTTGGAACCGGAGCATCAGTGAAACAGCAAGCAAGTAAACTTATCATGAACATGAATGGGAAACCACAGGAGGTTTCTATAAATATACCAATAAAGGTTCTAGGAGCTGAAGATGGAGTTGATAAACTCATTGCTGAACTGGACAAACTGTACAAGAAGGACGGTACTCAGTCTTTATTTAAGGCAATAGACGACTTTGAGAGATATAGAAGAGGAGATGGAGAAGATATCGACAACTACATCTTGGAATTCCAGCGGAGGTATCAGATCCTTAAACAGCTGAGAGAAAGCAAAGAGCTCTATGACGATATGATATTAGCATATAGACTGTTAAATCAGGCTAGCCTAAACGATGAACAGGCCAGATTAGTTAGAGCAACTTGCACTAGTACATTATCTTATAACTTGATGCAAGAACAGTTAAAAAGGACATTCGGAGATGGATTTACAAGGAATGAGAATCAATCCAGTCTGCCTTTCAAAAGTACTCCAATGGAGGTGGTAAAGCAGGAACCCGTCTTTCTAACTGAGGATCAGCAAATGGGGTCTGACGTGCACTGGACCAGAAATGGGGATCATCAAAGAAACTTCACTGGTCAACCTATGAGAGGGGAAAACAGATATAACCCTTACGGTCAGAATAGAGGGCAGTCTAGATTCAACCCATATGCACAGAAACGAGGACAAAAGTCTTACATGAGGGGGAGCAGTAACCAAAGGATCAGTTGTTTTATATGCCATCAACCAGGTCATGTTGTCGCTGAGTGTTCTTTTAACACATTCGCTAAATCTCATCAAAAACAAGATGATGAGTCTCGCAGAAAGGTCTACGCTTTGTTTGAATCAGATTTTTCACTTCCAGATTGCGAAGAAGAGATAATTTACTTAACAGGTGAATGTACGAACAAAGCGTTGATAGATACAGGGGCATGTGCAACCATCTGTGGAAAGGAGTGGTTTACGGTGTATGAAAGCTCTTTGACTACAGAAGAGAGGAAACTGATACAGACTGAGACTACTGAAAGGACATTTCGATTTGGAGATGGTAAGCCAGTGAAGTCGATTGCTTTGAAAACTATACCTATTAACCTTTGCAACAAAGATATGTTTTTGAAAACATACGTGGTGACGAACGATATTCCTCTTTTGCTAGCGAAGCAAACCATGACGAAAATGGGTATGGTACTAGACATGGAAAATATGACCCTAAAAATAAAAGACAGCAAAACACTGGAGAAGTTGCGGAGTACAAAATCGGGTCATGTAGCTGTGCCGATTGCACGTTGTGGAGATGGGCAAGAAAGTGGAGTAACTTATCAAGTGTCTGAAGAGCAAGACTGTGGAAAAACTGCTGACTTTTATCACCGTTACTACGCTCACGCATCAGCTGCGAAGATAGGTAAAGTCATCAAAAACGCAAAGTTGAAAGATGGTAATAAGATCATAGAGGAGCTTGAGAAGATTGATCAAACATGTGATTTTTGCTTGAAGTACAAGACTAGATCTATTCCGAAGAGGAAAGTGGGAATCCCTCAAGCTTCAATTTTTAATGAAGTCGTTGCTATGGACTTAAAAATTATAAATGATGAGGTGACTTTACTACATATGGTTGATACCGTAACAAGGTATTCTGTGGCAGCTCGAGTGATCAGCAAGGAAGCTCAAGAAATACTTGATAAGGTATTTAAGCATTGGATATCCATATTTGGACCACCATCGACCTTCATATCAGATAATGGAGGAGAATTTGTAAATGATTGTTTTAACCAAGCTTGCTCAGTACTGAACATCAAGATTCAGACATCGCCAGCGTATTCACCTTGGTGCAATGGGATTGTAGAACGACACAACGGCATCTTGGGATGCATGATAAAATCTTTGTTAGAAGAAATGAGATGTGATCCTGAAATTGCTATAGCGTGGTCTGTTAGTGCTAAAAATTCTCTCAGTAATACATACGGATTCAGCCCTCACCAACTAGTATTCGGAACAAACCCAAGGGTTCCTGGAATCATGGAAGAAAATATGACTCCTGGAACATTAAACCACGAAGGTGTTCTTAAAATAGTCAGTGATCACCTCAACGCTCTCTCTCTGGCTAGACTGAAGTTTGTTGAATTAGAAGCTAACGACAAGCTCAAGAGAGCACTCCAACAGAGGATATTTCCGCAAGCTAACTATAGATATTGCAGTGGCGATCTCGTGTACTTCAAGAGAAGTAAAAAGTTCTGGTATGGACCAGCAACAGTAATAGGACAGGTTGCTAATCAAGTTCTGATCAAGCACGGGGGTCACATCGTGAGAGTGCATCCGTGTAAAGTGGTTCTTAAATCTAGAGCAAAAGAACA